GGGGTGAATGTGTAGAAATGATTTCTACACTAGTATATATGTATTATTTATATATAGTTATTTGGAAATGCTATAATAAAGTTAAAAGCCGAATTGTAACAACAAGATCGCGTTGGCGAGATGGAATCTGACCAGTGTGCGTGGTAGACGTCTTGTGTGCGACTCCGTTGGAGAGCAGAGATTTTTAAACGTCCAGGATTTTGGAATTCTACTCTCCCAAGTCCAAAAAACTTAAATAGTGGCCTAATTTCTATGTATCTGTGTATTATTCCAATTTTTTTTTCAGAGTTTCAAAACTTATGCATTTAGTGTTATAAACCATTTCAGAGAGGGCTATTATGGCTTTATTGCCTTAAGCCTTTAATAACTTTGTTGTTTATATATATATTCATTTTTTTAGCTTTTAGGTTTTCAGATTTATGCCTTTATATAATTCTATTTTTATATTAACATTTACTTCTAAATTGACTTTGACAAAAATTTGTTCTTGTAATATTTATTTCTGTCTTCGACGTTTATGTTGCAACAAATATCAATTTATACTCGAAAATAATAATACAAATGTAGTACGGAGTATTATTTTACTACATTTTCACTTTTTATTTTTTTTGACAATATACGTTATTTAATTAAATTTTGGCCCTTCATTAAAAAAAATGGCCCCTACTGAATGTTAAAGCTAGATCCGCCCGTGCATGCATGCCAAATGGTCTAGATACAATACAATCTTTAAGTTCACTACGAAATTGAAGAATCACTACTCCATGCAAAATCCGTAAATGTAGTTAATATAAAGGGTGGTTGGATTGAATTTATGCAGATCCGAGTACTGATTAACGTTGGCATGCCATAAATGTCCACCGAATTTGAAGAAAGGCACAGGCGCGGTTTGGGAGGATTTAAATTATGAATGGCTGCCGCATTTTTGCTTCATCTGAGGCCTTAGGAGCCATATTGACAGGTTATTTCCACGAAGTTTTGAGGAAACTTATAGGGAGATGGAGAACCGGTTTCACGGTTTGGGGTTTGCTTGCGGGCTGGAAGCAAGAGAGGTGGCCTAGTAAAGGAAGCAAATGACTTTTCAATGGTGAAGGAGATTTCAATTCTTGGTGACAGCTTCTGGTATCTAAACCCCGGGGATCATGAGTTGCCTTAGTTGGAACTGTCGAGAGCTTGGCAATCACACGACAGTTCAAGCACCGGTGGACTTGGTTCACCATAAGAGGCCTTCTTTAGATTTCGCGATGGACGCCTTTGCTAATACCTTCAAAGTGGAGACTAATTTGAGAAAGATTGGTTTGGAATCTTGTTTAGTACGTTGTGAAAAGTGTTTGGCACCGAGGAGGGCTTGCGTTAATTTTGTAGGTGGGTTCATGTTTAGATCCTTGCGTCAATTGATGCGCGGGTACGGTTGGAGCCTTGGAGGTAGTGTGTTACATAGGTCTTTATTTTGCTCCATTTGATGATTCTGAGATCGGACTTATTTAACCCAAGGGTATGGTTGGCACAATTAGCTGAAAAGATACTTTTGTGAGCTTTTTAATAGTCACTTCGGTTCTTAATTAAGTTCCTAATTTGATTTCACGCATATTAAGAAATAAATTTGACTTTACTGTGGAGTGCACTGTTTGAACATTGTTTGACACTGTTTGAACACTGTTTGATACTGTTTAAACACTGTTCGACACTGTTTAAAAACTGTTTGGCACTCTTTTAGTGTAAATCATTTGCCAAATAAGGAAAGGTTTGAAGTAGGAACTTTAATATGGACCATCCCAAAAAGGAAAGTAGGAACTTAATTACGGGACGGAAAAAGTACCTGTTAACTTTTAGTGACTGAAAAGATCTTAAAAAGAAAAAAGCGGAAACTGTTTGATAAAAAGCTGATTGTTTGATTTAGTTCGGTTTGGTATACAAGCTGTTAGGGCTAATTAATACTAAAAATCACGGGCTTTTTTCAGATGCTACTGCTTGTAGCATCTCAAAAAAGATCTTTTAGTTTTTGAAAAGCTCTTAAAAATTGTCAGGCCAAACATATAACTAGAAGCTTTTAGAGCCTTTTTTAACAGTACAAAAGCTAGAAGTCAGAGATTTATGCACGCCAAACATAGCCTAAGAGATTGTTAAGAGAAGGAGGTCCTTTGTCACCCTATTTATTTATCTTAATTGAAGGGGGGTTAAGTGTGCTCCTCCGAATACATGAGGCTACGGTTTGGTTTCATGGGGAAAGCTACTGCTCGGGGGCACCAAGAAGGCGAGAATTACACAGTTTTTTGCAGCCGACAATATGCTACTCCATATTATTTAGAGCTAATCATGAGGAAGTGTTACTGTAAAGGAAACTTTACTAGATTATGAAGTTGCTTCTGAGTTTTTTCCCGAAATAATGCTAATTAAATAAATAATTCCCAAAATACTGTTGGGTTAAAAATAATTCCCAAAATACTGTTGGGTTAACCGTGGTTAAGAAAAGCCGCCACTTGAAGTGGCGGCTCTTCTGTTACAGTACAAAAGCCGTCACTTCAAGTGGCGGCTCTTCTCTTACAGTACAAAAGCCGCCACTTCAAGTGGCGGCTCTTCTCTTACAGCACATTTTGTACATATATAAAACGCAGTATGTTTCAAGATTTTTTTTTACTATCTTCCCAATTGAATTTTGAGCTGAAACTTTGTATGAATAGACTAGACTTGATGCAGAACATGCTCAAAAACATTTCATAAAAAAAATCCACTGGGAAGACCCTCTGATGGTGTTGTCTGCACGGGGGTTCCGGTCATCAACAAAATCAACTCGGAAGCACCTCAAATTTCATAAAAATGTCCTATTCCTGTCACGACGTCCTGACCGGAACCCCCGTGCAGACAACACCATCAGAGGGTCTTCCCAGTGGAATTTTTTTATGAAATGTTTTTTAGCATGTTCCGCATCAAGTCTAGTCTGTTCATACAAAGTTTGAGCTCAAAATATCGGGAAGATAGTAAAAAAAATTCTTGAAACATACTGCGTTTTATATATGTACAAAATATGCTGTAAGAGAAGAGCCGCCACTTGAAGTGGCGGCTTTTGTACTGTAACAGAAGAGCCGCCACTTGAAGTGGCGGCTTTTCTTAACCACGGTTAACCCAACAGTATTTTGGGAATTATTTTTAACCCAACAGTATTTTGGGAATTATTTATTTAATTAGCATTATTTCGGGAAAAAACTCGTTACTTCTGTCAAGAAAATTAAATTTAATAAGTCCTCGTTTTTTAAACCAATGTGGCATTGGATAAAATTAAATTTAATAAGTCGTTTTTTAAACCAAGTGGCATTGGATTGTAGGGAGGGACTGATTGAAATGTTAGGAGTTAGAATGGTTGGGAGTGAGGAAAAATACTTGATTTTGCCGATGTTAGTAGGAAGGAGTAGTAGAGATATCTTAGACAAAGAGTGGTTATATCGCATTTAAAACTGGAATATTAGATTTTTATTGAGAGCATATGGGTAGTTTCTTAAGATCATGTCAACATACGTCATGAATGTGTTTTTATTGCCTAATGAACTGTGCCAAGAGATAGAAGTTTAATGAACACTTATTGGGCGTTTTCTAGTAGGCCTGAATAGGTTGGTGGCATGGGTTTTAGGAGGCTTTGGGATTTTAATATGTCTATGATTGCTTGTTGGAAAGTGTATAGATCTCATTATTACCCCGTTTTTTTTTACAACCAAGCTTGGGAATCATTTGACGGAATTTATTTCATAGGGTACACTTAGTGACTTAGGGATGAAAAATCTACCAATGTTTGGGAGGAGTCTTGGTTGCCTGATCTAGAGAATCCTAGGGTTGTGTATGTCTTGGGCGTGCGACATGGATATCCTTAATGACATTTTTGTCAGCAGAGATGTGTTGCTCATCCGGAGTATACTGTTGTGCATCCTTTCAGTTCCCAATAGGTGTGTTGGGGGGTGGGAAGAGGATGGTCACTTCTCCGTCTAAAGCTATTATCGGAAGTTGGTCGAGGAGTTGGATAATGTTGAGTGGACAGGTTAGGCTACCATAGTACCATGTGGAGTTGGAAATTACTTCCGAAAATTAAAGTTTTCTTTTGACAGATATGTAACTGATGCATGCTGACGACGGTGAATGTGAAGGCAAGGTGGTGAATTTCTCCGTGTCTTGTGATGACGAGGATGAACCGCTAATGCACTTCTTCATCAATTGTCCAGTGATGAAGAAGGCTTGGTCTTCTGTGGATTGGCATTAGTTAGCAATTTTGAGGAGCAACTGACACGCAAGTTTCAAGTGAAGAAGAGGGGAAATTTAAGGAAGTTAATTCGGGGACGTTAGAGACTGGTATGAGAGAAATCAGAGGGTGTGGCATTCAGATGAAGGCAGAGCAAATTTATGCATAGGGTTGAAGTTTTGGTCTATGGATGGGTCCTTTTGCAACTACCATGGAGCCAGGGAGTATACATCGTTCTCGGGGAAGACGACTTCTTCAGTCTGGACTCTGGAGGCATCCAGATTATGGAGGTTGAAGCTGAATGTGGATGCCACTCTATAGAGGTGGTCTTGGCTGGAGCATCCTGGAGTCCTGGACGATAGAGGAATTTTGTTGCAGGAGTGGCCTTGCCATGTCTGGGAACTGGGAAGGTTCTCTCCTCTAGAGACTAAATGAATTTGTATTAGGGAGACGCTTGCTGCTTGCAAGGACTAGGTTGGGTCATTGGGATGAGGTAGATGTTGAATCTAATCCTCTCATCCTCCCGAGCAATTTCTGAGATTCAAACGGGTCCAATTGCTCGACGAGATTGATGGCTGAAGACTGAAGTTATTAGAGAATTGGCACTGAGTTTCCAACATTTCATTCTCCCACATTAGGCGATGAACGAACGACGTAGCTCCTGTCCTCAAGTGTGAGTGAGATGTAATTTCATTCACTAATCCTCTAACTACGATTATCAAGGAGATGATTATAAAAAAACAGGGTGCTATGACTTAATTACTCTACTTGCTTACTAGGATAGTTGAATCAGGCATATATAAAACATTGGTAATATAAGCTGCTATAGTAATGTATTACACAAAAATTGCTGCCGTTGGGCAGCCAAATCCTATATTCTATTATATGTTACAACTTGCAATTTACAAATGTAAGTGTAACATTGTTTTCTAGACTACATACACCGGTACACAAAAATGTCAAAAACGTAAGTTAAAAAAATGTGGAGAATGTCCTACAAAATGATAATTAGCTCCAAAAAGTTATAATAGAAGCTTTAAATTTAAAAAAATCGAGATTACAGTTTTCACTGTATAGATGCAGAGTGGGTTAGATCTGCCAAGTGCAGAAGTCCTAAGCTTGGAGTGCCTTTTGCACCTCATCAAGGCAGGCCAACAAATCTTGATATTCTTTGATTTCTGAAAAATTCTTGGCAGCCTAAGTTTAAATAGAAAACATAAATATTAGCGTTAGCAGCTTAGAAACTAAAAGGCAAATGGCCATTACTCCATTACTACCACCCCGTCCCAAACAACAACAAAAAAGTACACCAATAAAAGCATGTCTTTTTGGGGGGAAAGGAGTAAATGCCAACTCCGAATGATAACATTTACAACAACTTTGTAAACTGAAGTCACATTTGTGCGTAGTTGTAATTCGAGCGCAAAATGACCTTTCAAATTAGGTTTAAAGACATTTTAATCCCTTCAAATATAGTACATTTTGTTTATGTCCTTGCGAAATTATTTTTCTTTGAAAGACCTGAAATTAAAAAGTGATTAATTAGTTTTACATTATTTTGACTCTCATATTAGCCTCAAAAAAATTATAAATAAATAAACTTAAAAGTTTCTAGTGGATTTATGCAACCAGCAATTTTTTTTCTTCTAAATGGAGTGATTTCAGACTTAGCGATGGACTAAAAACAAAATAGTGCATATTATACGGCTGAAAAACAAAAAAAATATTATACAGGGATGCAAAACAAAGCGTGTCATATATGCAGGGACCAAAAACATAATTAAGCCTTTCAAATTATATCAAATTTAGCAAATTCTCATCCTTCTCATGATAGACTAGCCTTCCTACTATGCTTTCTTATTTCACTTCTTTTTCGAGCAAACTAAAAGGGCATGTTTTGGCCTCATGAGTTAGACTTTCTAGTTTCGAGTTTTATACCAAAGTAATTTTTTATGTAATTTCTAAAACGGATAATCAAATATATAGCGAAAAAGTTACATCTGTTTTGGTTAAAATGGCTTAGATGAAGACACATGACATCCTGCTAATCATCTTTTATATTCCCTCCGCCCCACAATTAACTTTATACTTTTCCCTTCCCAATTCAGTACTACGTAAGAGTGGTGCGCTTAAATGGACCAAGATGCTTCCATTTAATTCCCACACACCCGATTAGCCTCTCATTAATAACCTTTCCCTGCAAAAAAAAAAATCCTAACCCACTACACCCGACCCTCGGTATCCAACCTTGTTATTTTTTGGGGCTGAGATTTGAGGAACAAGCCTGGTACTGCTGTATGTTTGATGATCAGAATTTGAATGACTATGATGGTCAAGAACAAAGATAATAACAAAAGCCATTTTCTCAAATTAAACCAAGAAGCTTGCGGGTTGAGCGGTTGAACTTTAAGATAGAAATATTAACCCTTGTCTATCTAATGTATGAATTTAAGATATTCTGCATCTTGACATTAATATATTCAAGAATATGAAGATTGCATAATGAGCATTATACCCTTGATGTCAAAAGCATGGAAATTAGGCTGCAAAAATGTTCTTCTAAAACCTCATGCCAAAAGCAACTCTTTAGAAAACTGTTCTTTTAAGATACATCCATGCATTTTCTAATTTAAAATAAGTTTTCTCATTTGATCCATATTTTTAGATAATTTAGTCCAATTAACCATTTCAACAACATTAGAAAATTTGGAAAAAATCTTAACCATGTGCAAGAAATTCATCAATGGATAATTAAAAATAAAGAACGTGCCTGCTTGATAGTGCTCTTCAAGTGCATCTCAGCTGCAAACAACTCTTTGCGACTAGCATTGCGGCAAGCAATTTCAATATACACCCTGCATAGTTCCAATGAAGCATTTGCAAACTTTCCAAAGCGATCTTTATCGTTCCATAAATCTGATCCCTGAATAGGAAAAGACAGATAGAGACACAGCACATAACTAAAGTGTAAATGTGCAAAAACAATTCCAATATACAATGCTAGAGAGAAAAATGATAACATTTCTTAAACTTGTCTATGTTAGTCGATCATCTAAACTAAAGGGCCACCACGAAATGGTATAACTTTTAAGGTGTACAGATTATATACTTTGCCACCCGTCCCACTATACTTTGCCAAATTTCCTTAGTTGGTTGACTTAAGAACTTTGCCACTTCCTCTTTAAAGTAACGAATTTGTGGTTAATAACGCAAACATTAATCATGCAATTTTTACTTTCTTATTCCGTGCAGCTAAACTTGAACAACTTTAGTGGACAGAGGGAGTATTATATTCCCATTTGCTACTGAGAAGATTTCTTTGACTGATCAGACGAGTGGGGGGGGGGCTTCTCTCGAGTGAGGGATTCTCGATTGCTTTGATCAGCGGGGGTCAGCAATCGGGTTTCTGGACGGCATACTGGTGGTGGATTACACAGTCCGGGGTTTGCAGTGGGTGGCTACTCTCTAAAGGTAGACTCGTCATTTCCAGTACCCAGGCTTCTTCTGATAACTAATTGTTTTTGTAGTTTATTTTTCTTTGTGCAAAAGCAGGGTTGAATTTTAGCAGGGGGGCCTTGGCACACCGGTTACAGACTGAGAAATCACGAGTTTAAGTCTTAGGAGCGGCCTCTTATATTGCTCACCCTTCCTCGGACCTTTGCCTAGCAGGAATGCCAATGTCCAGTGGGCTGCCCCTTTAAGAGCAGGGTTGAATTTCCTTTTCCCACTGAAGAATAAAGTTTAAATTTGTTGTTTCTCGTTACAAGAATGGTGTGTTGATATTTAATAACTGATTCTACTCCAAAATTTTCCTTCTCAAAAAGGAAAAAGAAAAAGGTGAGAACCCTATTGTGGATTGATTAGGATGTGTATTTTATTTTCCAATATCCAAGTAACCAAGTGACTAGATGATTGAAGTGGTCACTAAAGGAGATTTTCCTTAACGGACAATTAATATCTGGACAAAAGGCACACAGAGAACGTTCATTGTGATTCCTGACATGAAAAATAATGAAAGAACAAAATCTCTGACAGTTAAGGTTCATACTCATATATGTTAGGCATCAACCTAATCAGTATTTTGATTAGGTATTGGAAAGGAGAAATAAATGGGCTGGGGTCAATTAATGAGTCTGTTTATCTATTTTAGTCCCTGTGTGGACTTATTACTATAAATAGTAAGGTGGGTAGCTAATAATAGGCAGACTGTCATTTATCTGAATTGTTGCCTTGTTGCCGAAGAGTCCCTTGTTGCCTAAGTCCCGTTGCCTGTTTCCTACGTTGAGTCTATTTCTATCAAATAAACCCTATTTTCTCTATCAATCTATCATATCTGCACTTGTTGTTTTACTGTGTATACTCAGATCTTGCTAGTTACCTAACAATATATGAGCCTTTTCAAGGAAAACTATTTATCATACATCAATATTGTTCCGAGCATGATAATGGCATGAAAGTCATTCACTTACCGTACTCATTTTTCACTCTAAACATATTTAGCCTATCTAGGAATGCTCAGCCAAGAATATTGGAGTGTTTTCGGATTTTAAGTAAAACATTATTGCGTCTTGTGTTCAGCGGAGCATTTCAGAACACTCGGATGAAGCTCAAAATTACCCAAAAGGTTAGAATTAAGAGGCCATGAACTGTGCACTAACAGAATTCAAGTTCCCTATTTCTATCACTTTGTACAATATACATATATAAAAAATTAACTGTTTAAGCATTTTAAATTAATATCTTCTCGAACAACAATCCAAACACTCATTAAAAAAAATGCTACGAAACCCACGATCTTATCAAACCAAAAACCATAGTGAAAACACAGCATTTTAAATAGCAAAGCAAGTTTTCATACTGTTTACCTAAGCATCCCCTAAGTTTTCATACTGTTTACCAATAACCACTGCCCTGCCTGTTTTACAACGTATTAGACTATCAGTTACACCTTATGGCTTACGTTCAAAGAAGGGAAATCAACAACCACAAATTTATAACAATTATTACACACACAAAAACAGAGCAAAAAATATAATGCGCATTTTCTTTTATTTTCTTTATCAACAACGCAATTATTACACCTTGCGTTGGATGTGTGGGCATACTAGGAAGGACCACGTGAGAAATGAGACAATCGGACAAAGGATGGGAGTAGCACCTATTGAAGACAAGATGCGGGAGTCTCGCCTACGGTGGTTTGGTCATGTGCGTAGAAGACCGAATGATGCACCTGTCAGACGTGTTGAGATGTGTGGAGAAGAGGCAGGGAAGAGAGGGAGAGGAAGACCCAAACAGACGTGAGTTAGGGCAGTCCGAAGTGATATGCTTCTTCTTGGGTTAGATGAGGGTATGGCTTTTGAGAGAGGAAAGTAGAGGTGTTATGAAACAGAAAAATAAAATCAGAGGGGTGTACCGTTGCCCAGCTATGTTGCACGGAAACGCGAAAATCATGAGGAAACGAGAAACGGGAAACGTCAACTTTTGCTCAAAAAAGGCTTATTTGGAGAGTTTCCGAAGAGTTTCCGAGAGTTTCCGAAACGGAAAACGTACTCGAGAGTTTCCGTGCTACATAGTTGCCCAGATAATCAACGATAAAAAATACCGTTGGCCAAAGCCAAAAGGCTAAACCAACTTTTATTCCAAGATAACCAGAATGAACCCTGGCGAGGGGTATAAATAGCCTTCTACAAGCAACCCTAATTAAGCCCAAATTAATTAAATCCTAATTATGCCCACACTAACTCTACTAAGTACTCTACTAATAATAGGCCCAAACCAAAACATAACATTAACTTTAATAATAATAAATAAACTGTAACGACAGCCCTAACCCGGCCCACGGAAGTGGGCCCAAGCCCGGTCCCGCCTCATGCTCTTCCCGCTCTCTATCAATTCATCCTCCTTCAAAATAACATTGTCCTCAAGGTTAAAATCTCACAGACGGGGAACTGAAATTTCCAGACAGAAAAGACTGGAAAATATCCTTCCTCCCTTTCATGAACCCTTTCCTGGCCGGTTATTTCAGAAATTGACCCTTTTAAAGCACGATCATGAACAAGGACATAAATATACTCCTGAAATAAAAGTGGATACATGAAATTCTGTTCTTTCGATCAAAATCCTATTTTATTAGTGCTAATAAGGAAGAACATAGGGGAATAATCACTACATCTGTTGGAGGTCCAACTCTTCATCCTCCTCCGCTATCATTACCCACAGCTGCTTAAAGGGACAATCATGTCTCGGTGTAAATGGTTTCTTACCCCTAAAGCATAATCCTTTCGCCCGCAATTCTGCAAACTCCTTTGGCGGAAGTCGAGTGAACTGAGAGCGTGTCGTGGGCTGCCCGGACCATAGTCACAGTGTTCGCGGAACGATTCGGTACGGGAACGAGGAACAGGAACGCGGTTCCCTAGATCTAGCGTATCCGGTTCAGAGGGGGGTAGGTTCATTTTGGTACGCATTCGGTACGTTGTACCACATGTTCGATACGTGGTATCTTATATCTTGATAATATAATGAAACTAAATTTAAGATTTCACAAGTCCTAACAAATACAGATTTCCTAATCATAAGTTATAACATTAAACAAAATAAAAAACACTAATATTCCAGAAATAAAAAACATTAATAACTGAAGAGAAAAAAACTAATAGTCGCAAAAGTGGACTGGTGTAGTAGGCTCAGAAGACTAAGTGTTTCCCGTCCAACCGAAGAAGACTAAGAGTCTGAGTGTTTGGCGTAAGAAGACTATAAGTGTTCCCGACGTTTCCCTCAATTTATTAGTAGGCTCAGAAAGCGAAGAGCCTAGTCCGAAATTCTTGCGCTTGTTAGTAAAACGAGGGAAACGAAGCGCTGACCTGTTTCAATTTTGGGAAACAACGATTCAAGCTGCGCAAAGATGGGAAACGGCGATTAAAATCGCTTTGAACAGCATTTGGGATCGAATCAAAGAGTGATTGCGAAGAGCGACTGGGATCGACTCAACCACCGTACCATTTAGCGTTCCCGTATGCGACCGGATCGATTTCGTACCGCGTTTGGGTACGGAACGACTGGTACGCAGATCGTGTCTTCCACAGCGATTTATGTATCTATGGCCTGAACAGCCCTGACTTTGTCCCAGGAGGCTGCCCAATGTCTTTAGGAAAGCTGTCATTGGATCCTCTTAAGCTGCCACCACTTATGGTCGTGTTGTTACTGCCACTTGGGCACGAAAAATTGCTCGAATGCAAGTTCGTGTCGTAGGGTTGACTTTCCCAGTCTCCATCTTGAAAGGACAAGTTGTCCTCAATGTCTCTGGCCAATTGCATTGCGATCTCCAGGCTGTTTGGCCGCAGCAATCGTAAGGATCCCCGAATCAGTCCCTTCAGCCCGTTCATGAAATAGTGAAATACCCCAAATAATGATCCTCGGACAACCCACTGGCCAACTGCACAAAAAGGTTATTGTATTCTTGGTCCCCAACTCTTTGGCCCCGGACAGCCGTTCAAATCGGTTGCCCTTGAACCGTGAATCAAGATGGGCCACCAGTGCATCTGTGAATTCCTCCCAAGTCAGGCCCGGTTTCCGTGCCTTCAACCAGGTCAACCAGTATAGGGCAGCCCCTTCCATGGCTACGGTAGCTGCTGCCACTTTGCTTTTAGGTAGAGTTTGATAGAATTCAAACTGTTGCTCAGCCCTAGCCACCCACCCAATCGAGTCTTCTCCATTGAACGCTGGCAGCAAGGTCGTTGTAGAGTTGCGTAGACTGTCATCGCTACGCTGCGCAATTGCAGCGTGCGCAGATGTGGCATCACTGGTCGCTGCAGGCTCCTTCTCCGATGGGACCATGGCCTTCACGAATGCAGCGAGAGAAGCCGCAATCTCTTCCAGTTGGGCGCCATGCTCCTCTAATTTCTACCCTTGCATATCAAGCTTCTGTTTGATTAGGGTTTGCTCAGCTTCCATCTCGTTCAAGCGATCATTTTGAGATCTCGTCATTCCGGCGGGAACGGGATCCGGCAGGTCAGACCAATTGTTATGAAGCAGAAAAATAAAATCAGCGGGGTGAACCGCTGCCCAGATAATCAATGATAAAAAATATTGTTGCCCAGAGCCAAAAGGCTAAACCAACTTTTATTCCAAGATAACCAGAATGAACCCTGGCGGGGGGTATAAATAGCCTTCTACAAGCAACCCTAATTAAGCCCAAATTAATTAAATCCTAATTAGGCCCATACTAACTCTACTAAGTAGTAAGTACTCTACTAATAATAGGCCCAAACCAAAACATAACATTAACTTTAATAATAATAAATAAACTATAACGACAGCCCTAACCCGGCCCACGGAAGTGGGCCCAAGCCCGGTCCCGCCTCATGCTCTTTCCGCTCTTTATCAGGAGGGCGGGTATTCGTGTGGAGGAGTGATCTCGTATTAGTATTATTATTATTATTTCTCCTCATCTTTTTTCTTCTTGTTTTTTATTCTTTTATCATTAAATATATAAACATTATTTTTTATCCTTTTTGTTTTACCATTTTTTAGTATATTCATCCCGTTTTATATTATCTTTTTTATAATAGCTTATTTTTTTATCTTTATTTTCTTTCTTTTCCTTTTGGTGGTGTTATCATGTATCGATTCATGTTAGCCGACCCCAATATCTTTTGGGACTAAGGCTTGGATGTTGTTGTTGTTGAATGTTCACTATCTAAAAATGAGTCTTGACTGCTCTATCGTACTCCAACAAGAATACAAGTTATTGCAAATTAATACATCAACAACAACATCCAAGCCTTAATCCAAAAGAATTTGGGATCAGCTAACATGAATCGATCTATGAAAATCAATAATAAAGGGAATATTAAAGTAGAAAGACGGTGATAAATTTTAATCCAGGGAGGAATACAACATTAAAAGGGATACACAATTTCGTCATTATTACTAGTTAATATACCTGGTATGATCTGACTTGCTTCAGAAGTGCCTCAGAACACATTGTGAGATCTCCTTTGAGTTTGTGCCACCTAGCATTCAGCCCCCACACCGCTGCTGCACTGTTTCCACTTTGTGCCATCTAAAATCAAACAAAAAATTCAAATGTGAATATACTTATTTATAGCAGATACATCACGTTTTTTACAAATATACTAAATTCTAGCTGATATGTCAGTCCATGCAATTTTCAACGTGACTTCGACTATGGGTCATCGGGAAACAATCTCTCTGTGCTTTAGTATAGGGGTAAGCATGCGTACATCTGACCCCTACCTCACCATAGGTGGCAGCCTTTGCACCACTGGGGTAATGATGATGATGATGATGATGAATGATGACGATGAGTTTCCCTTAATATCTTCCTACATATCCTTTCAAGAGGTGAGAGTCTGAGAGAAGACACTCTTATCTCTGAACAGGCTGACAGCAAAAACAACAAAGCCTTTGCCTTAAATCAATAACATCAGCTTCATGAAGTGTTAGATAATCTTCTGATGTACCCAATATCTTAATTTTTTCGTTCTCCTTCATTTACCATATGTATATTAAACTCCACTGCTACAATGTCCCCTTCTACACCTTTAGCAGGCTCATTTTCAGCATATCATACCAAGATTTCTTAACAGACGACAGGTTTGAACCAAAGTGCTGATTCTCCCTTAGTAGTTAGTATATCTTCAATAGTTGTTATACCGACTCGCCTGCAAAAATACTCGTTGCACACTCAATTTTCCCCCAAAATGTTAATAATTGTTGGCTAAAGGGTCAAATAGGTACATGAACTAACTTAAAGTGTTCAATTAGCCCCTTATATAGGAGGTTCTGCCCGGCCGTCGCCAATTGGGGCGGTTCCTGGTGGAATTTTTTGATGAAATTTTTTGAGCATCTTCTTCATTAAGTATAGTTTACCCATACCAAATTTCATCTAAAAATTCAACCGGGAAGGCAGTCAAATGATTTTTTGAAGATAACTGCGCAGTTAAACAGCGCAGTACAATTCAGAAAATCATTTGACTGTCTTCCCGATTTAATTTTTAGCTGAAATTTGATATGGGTAAACTAGACTTAATGAAGAAGATGTTCAAAAAACTTCATCAAAAAATTCAACCGGGAACCGCCCCGATTGGCGACGGCCAAGCAGAAACTCCTATCTAAGGGGCTAATTGAACACTTTAAGTTAGTTCATGTACCTATTTGACCCTTTAGCCATAATTGTTTGATATGGTGAAAACAAGCAAGAATTACTTCTCCAAAAAGTAGTTTATTGAGGGATTCTTAGAACCTGACTATACTAAATAACAAAATAGCTATAATAAATAATGAAATAGCTATAATAATAGGAAACTAATATTCCTAGATATGGTACACTAATGATAATAAAGAATAATGCCCCTAACCCGAGTGGGAACAGCCTAAAAAAACTCATAACACACATCCATCTTATGATAACACCTCACCATAAACACTTCACCACCAGTAATGAAGGCATGAAGCCAGTCTTATAACCATCTCATAAAATTATCTTTGTAATGTTAGAGGTACAATACCATCACGTAAATTTTTTAACCCCCCCCCCCAGGCCATCTATGTGACAGGCAAACTATTGTTATCTAGCTACGACTCTTTATACATGGTCTACTCCTCTCACTTAAACAAGTTTAACAGAGCCAAGTTCAAATAGCATCTTTCTATGTATCAGATCATTTATGAAGTATTTGTGAACTATGACACTCTTTTCATTCCACGTTTCTTGCAGTCCTCCATCTCTAAAGTTCTTATACAGATAAGGAAAAAGAAGATTGCCAACAGCAAAAAAGCTAAGAGTTCATCCTTTGGCACCAAAATCGATACTCCCTCCTCCACCCATTTTTATTTGCCCCATCTTTCCATTTTAAACCCTCCCAAAAATGTTTGTCCCATGCCAAATTTAGATACATTTTGTGGCTTACATCATTCTAACTTTTACAAATTCAATATCAACCACATAAATACATTTTTCTTTGATAGTTGTGCCAACCCCAATCTCCCAAAGTTTGAGATGGAAGTAGTAAGTTACTAACAAATACTCCCTCCGTCCCTATATTATCTTCAATTGTGGTTCACAACAATTCTTACACATTCCTACACATTTCTCTCTCCTCTACACAACTCTCCACCACACAATATCCACTATCTTAATTTGTGTGCCCGGTCAAATGAGGAGTTTTTATAGGGACGGAGGGAGTAACATTTACTCAACACTGCAAGAGTGGAGCCAGTGCTTGGCAATCTTATGCCATAATCATATTAACCAGATCCAAAAAATTTCAATCCACAATCCCACTACCACATCGATCCCCACGACACGCAGCCACATTATCTCCTTATGCACACCAAGTCATGCGGCCTCATTTCCACTTATTGCAACACACATCTCCACCACCAGTAAGTCTGCAACACCATCAACAATATTTCCACCTGCAATGCTATCATCCATATCAGCACTGGTCATAAGGCCATCAACAGCATCTATATCAGCAGAACTGCCCTCAATGTTGTCACCGATATGGCAAACTCCCCCCTCCTCATCACCATCATCTGTCATAAGACTTGTGTATATTGTATGTGCTTTTTAAAAAGCATTTAAACCATTTTCCTTACAAGAAAATGTGCATTTGCAACATTTTTCAGGAATCCACAGGTGGTGCACAGGTTTAGAAAAAAAAGTTTGCTTACCTGTCGCAAAATTGTGCCAACCAGCTGAATTAAGTGCTCAGTTTCTCGTTCAAATGACAGCCCTGCTTCTGATGTTACTAACTTCTCAGCATGGTTTGTATCACAGATGACATCAGTGATGTTATTGCTTGTAGCATTTCTTGATGCAGATACAGAATGGGTGGTTGAAACGCGCATTTCAAGGTCCTGCATCACTTTCTCTAGCAAATCAATATCAGTTCTTTTTTTCTTAGTCATATCCAACACCATTTGTACAGCTTCCATTGCCTGCATAAAGATGGATTTTTGGATTACTTACATATTTCAAGCATCATGTGATAAATTAGTAATGGGTAATAGCATAATGACATGTGAAAGCACTGAGCAAACTTTGTTTAATCGTTTATGAGATAAATCATTCAACAGGATGCAGTCTGAATCACAATGCCTACTAGATATTGTTCCAAATTCTTTTTATAAGCATGTAAAGATGTGATGCAAAACCATCAGCATTAAATAATATGAAAATACACATAATACCATCAAAGAGAAACAGATCAGACTTACATAGACCAGACCATTCATAAACAAACTAAACCAGACCAATTCACAAAAGATCAGAAAATTGAAGTCCAAATGAACAGGTCCAAATGATCAGCATTAAATAATATGAAAATACACATAATAACTATACACCACATTTTATACACAAAAATACCTGGTTGATATTGCCAATATCTGCTGCAACACGGCTAAAATTTTCCCACATCTGCCAGCTGTTTCGCCTGCAACATGTTGCAATAGTGGATAAATAAGGTTCCAAATGAATCAGAAACATAATCCCTACATGGAAAGAAGTTCAAAAGATGAGCGCAAAGCATGAAAATCACTTGAACTTCAATGCTTCCTTAAAAGCAATAAATGCTTCCTTGTTTCTCTTCTTGACCATGTGCCTGCATAAGAGCAAAATTTGGAATTTCAAAAAATATGAAGAAAAACTGAGATCTTTAGGTAAAAGGCAATAAAAAGTTTAGAATCAAGACACACATATTGATAGAAGCTAGTAATATTTGAGCAAACACACATAAAGGTCTGTCACAATCTCGCCATGCATAAATCTATGTTATTCATAACAATCACAAGCATATATTGATCTTCTTGAATGTATAAATCTGGGTATAAACCAATAGGCAATATGTACTTCCGTACTCCACAAAACCTTAGTATTACAAGTTCATGAATGTCTAATGAGAACTAAACCTTTATGAAAAAGCTAATTTGTTTCGAAGTGATAGCCTAGTCACTGACGTCCATAAAAAAGTTAGTGCACAAAAAACACATCGGAATATGAAAGTGATATCTTTGAACTTCTATGGAAATGTAAAAGTACGAGACCAACAATGTACAGAGCAAGTAAACAGGCTTATGGTGAAGGTACAAAACACAGAAATTTGGTGCATCAAGAATGCCAAAAGAAGCCCATGGTAATCAACCACAACAGTCATTAGTTCTCATTCAAATTGACCGTAAAAAGAAAGGTGATAGTGGGAAAATATCAATTCCAATGAGTTACATTACAATCAGCCATCAATAGAAAATAACGAAAAATAGTGCAACACATTTAGCGCTTAGGTATCTAGTAAATACAAATATAACTGCATGTATATTTCCTTCAATAGAACCTCACATGACCCGCTATTTTTTTGGCTTGAGAATATGAAGGAATAAAGCAAAATGGTTTACTAAACTGTCTACGCTTCTTTGTTATGAAGCAGCAGTCAGTTCATGCAATTTTCGACACGATTTTCACTATGGGTCATCCGGAAACAGTCTCTTTGTGCTTTAGTACATGTGTAAGACTGCGTACATCTGACCCTCCCCATTACCCCACCATAGGTAGGAGCCTTTGCGCATTGGGGTAATGACGATGATGAAGGAGAACCTCACATGGCAGAACTAGAAACAACACTAAAGACAGTCTATCAACACCCTGGAAGCTCCTTTTACCAAGTGCTGCAGTGCTTTAATCAAAAAGCATATCAATGCAACGGTCATCAACATATAACCAACACTCCACCACATGCATCTTGTTTCGGCATTCTGCAGTATGTTAGCACACATTTCTCCAAACAGAAGAATCAATTGCTAAGATACTGCAAAGATCGACATTGTAATAGCATGTCTACAAGCTTCCCATAGATGCAACTAGTTCAGTTGTCCCTCCTATCACTAGTGGATCAAGATACAATATATCTATTTCCTAGGAGTCAGGATGTAAAACCCTATTCTATTGAGCTCAAACTCAGATTGGTAGCCATGCAAGACGTAAACCCCTATTCTATTTTTCAGTCAATGAAATTGAATTTCAAAAATAAAAGGAATTTATTATATAAACAGGTTGAAGATTCTGCTTCTAAATATCCATAAGAATAAAGAAAAAACATACAAACAAGCAATATTATTCCAAGCCTCTCCATTTTCAGGGTCTAGCTGAACAGCACGTGTAAATCCATCAAGTGCTTTATCCACATCCCTAGTCTGTATGAATTCAAAACAAAAAAATAAGCCGTATAAAGAATTCTTTGTAGCTGGCAAAGAGAAAAGATAGGGAGTACTTTTCCCTTCCAATATCAGATGCTGAAAATCTGCATTCGAATGATTTAAGTATATAGTTGGGTAGAAATAGATGCTAGTAAACATAGTCAGAAATTTATTTAACACCTTTAATGCAGCAGCACCTAATGCAAACCATCCATCTGGATACATAGAGTTCATTCTCATTGCAGACTCCCTACAGACAAAATAAATCATCAAAAAATTATTGTTACACCTTAATATATGGAGTAAAAAGGAGCATAGTATTGCATACCATAAGCCTTTCGACCTCTCATAATCACCCCTATTGTATGCACTACGAGCAAGAGAGCGCTTTGGTAAAAGAAACTTCTTTCGTTAGTCAAAAAACACAAAATACTATAAACAAATAACATAAAACAAAAACCATTAAAAAAAATTCAAGGTATTCAAATAACCAGTGCTCGAGCAGACTTGTTCGCAGAAACTTCTAGGGCTTTCTCATAGCATGCATCATCATTTGTAACATCACCTAATGAGCACCTAGAAAGAGTACCGGTAACAAAAGGGTTAGGAAAACATCACTACAAGCAACTAAAAAGATTCACATAAGAGTATACATGCAATTGAACATTTGAACGTAATAAGATGAATGCATAAATACATATAAGGTAGTAAAATAGATGCCAAAACAACAACATCCGAGCCTTAGTCCCATAAGATAAGAAATATAAGAAAGATAAAAAGATAAAACGATAGAATAAGATAAAAAAAAAGTAGGATACTGATAAGATAAAGATAAAATTGATAGGATAACAACATCCAAGCCTTAATCCCAAAAAAAATTTGGGGTCGGCTAACATAAAATTGATAATATAAAAGGGATAAAAATATAAGATAAAAAGGATAAAAGCATAAGAAAGATAAAAAGATAAAAGGATAAAAAAGATGAAAAGAGATTGATCCTCCACAGAAATATTCCCTCTCCAGTTTTCTCCCTCCAAAGTCATACTTTTATCCAATCCAAAATGAAACACATCACTCATAACTCCTCTAGTATACGTCTGTTTAGGTTTTCCTCTCTCTCTCCTCCCCACCTCTCAAATCGTCTAAGAGGTGTATCACTCGATCTTCTATGCACATGACCAAACCACCACAATCGAGACTCTCGCATCTTATTATCAATAGGTGATACTACTCTCGTTTTTGTCTGATTGTCTCATTCCTCAAGTAGTCTTTTCTAGTATATCCACACAACCAACTAAAAAGATTCAAATAAGATTATACATGCAATTGAACATTTGAACATAATAAGATGTATGCATAAATACATATAAGGTGTAAAATAGATACCAAAACAACAACAACAACAACAACAACAACATCCGAGCCTTAGTCCCATAAGATAAGAAAGATAAGAAAGATAAAAAGATAAAACGATAGAATAAGATTCAAAAAAGTAGGATACTGATAAGATAAAGATAAAATCGATAAGATAACAACACCCAAGCCTTAATCCCAAAAAAAATCGGGGTCGGCTAACATAAAATTGATATGATAAAAGGGATACAAATATAAGATAAAAAGGATAAAAGCATAAGAAAGATAAAAAGATAAAAGGATAAAAAAGATGAAAAGAGATTGATCCTCCACAGAAATATTCCCTCTCCAGTTTTCTCCATCCAAAGTCATACTTTTATCCAATCCAAAATGAAACACATCACTCATAACTCCTCTAGTCTACGTCTGTTTGGGTCTTCCTCTCTCTCTTCCCCACCTCTCAAATCGTCTAAGAGGTGTATCACTCGGTCTTCTATACACATGACCAAACCACCACAATCGAGACTCTCGCATCTTATTATCAATAGGTGATACTCTCTTTTTTTGTCTGATTGTCTCATTCCTCAAGCAGTTTTTTCTAGTATATCCACACATCCAGCACAACATGCACATCTCGGCCACACTCATCATTTGAACGTGGCATTGTTTCACCGCCCAACACTCTACACCATACAGTGATGCAGGCTTAATCATTGTCCGATAAAACATACCTTTCAAACTAGTTGTCATACCTCGATCACATAGAAATCTTGACACATTCTTTCATTTCATCTACCTTTTTTGAGTCTATGGAATGCATCTCCATCTTGTTCACCGTCCATCTGAACTATGGAGCCCAACTAACGGAACATAGCACTGACCGGTATCTCCTTTACTGTCTAAGATAATCTCGCTATAATCATTGCTTCTAACTCCATCAAACTTGCACTTCATATACTCAGTCTTGCTTCAACTTAGTCTAAAGCCCTGGTTCTCCAAACTTTTCCGCTACACTTCCAACTTTGATTTAACACTCAATTGTGTCTTATCGATCAATACAACATTGTTAACAAACACCATGCACAATGGTATAACTTTTTGAGTTCACTTCATAAGTTTATTCATGACTATAACAAATAAGAAAGGACTCAGAGCTGATCCTTGGTGCACTCCGATATTAATATGGAACTCTGTTGTTCTCCCTACAATCGAACAAACACTTGGAGTAAAATACTCATACATATCCAGATGTTGATATACTTACACGATATGTCTTTTCTAGTTAAGGCTCACCAAAGGAGTTCTCAAGGTATCCTATCATATGTCTTTTTTTAAGTCACCGAACACTAAATGCAGATCCTTGCTAGTGTCATTATACTTCTTCTCTACAAGTTGCTTAAGAAGGTGAAAGACCTCTGTTATTGAGCAATCAGGCACAAAACCGAATTGATTCTCCGAAATCTTCACACTTATTTGGAGTCTTTGGTCAATCACTTGCTCCCAAAGTTTCATAGTGTGACTCATAAGCTTGATCCCTTGTTAATTGGCAAGTTCTCGTACATCACCCTTATTCTTAAATAAGGGAAGAAAAGTACTCTTCCACAAACTCGCTAGCATTTTGTCATTTCTCGAGTAACGTGTATCCTACGACATCTCTCTCCCAAACTTCTTCAGGCCTCGATCGGTATGCCATCTAGACCTATTGCTTTCTTCTGCCCCATCATTTGGATCATCAATATCTTGTGTTTTATTCTCACTAAACAAGGCATCAAAGTATGACCTCTGCCTCTCTTTTATTTCATTATCCTCTATTAAACCCTTTGATCGACATCATTCACACACTTAATTTTTCCGATACTTTGCATCTTGCGATCACGAAGACGAGCAAGTCTATAAATATCTTTTTATCCTTCCTTAGAATCCAAATTTATATACAACTACTTGTTCACTTTTCCTTGTGTTTCCTTCATAGCTTTCTTAGTTTTTCTTTTATCCTCCTTGTACTCCTCTATTTTCTGATCGCTCCGAGTTTTTCCTTGTTTCTTTTTTGGTAACAGACATCCTTTAGATTCTCTCAATATCTCCTTTGTCAATATTCGTCTGCTCCATTCATAACTACACATCCTCCACATGTGCATCATTATCAATAAGCCATACATTTTCAAAAACATTTTGAGTGCAAAACTTTGTTGGAGATCCCTCTAGCCTTCACTACTTTAGCTTTGGCTCCACTTGTTGCTTAACCCGCCTAATATGCTTTTTATCTCCAAAATCAAACACCACCATCCTCACCTCGGATAACCTTACAATCAATGTAGTTAGTTCTTAAAGTAGTTTGGACTAAGAAGTATTCAATTTGGGTATTATTAGCTCCACTTCTATAGGTCACAAAGTTAGTGTCTCTTTTCATGAACCAAGTGTTCATTATAATAAACTCATATGCCGAGGCATTATCTAAAATGTTCTTTCGCGCTCCACTTCTGGTGCCAAAATTATGTCCGCCATAAATACTCTAAAAATGGCGGACATAATCACCCACATGCCTGTTGAGGTCACCTTCTATGACCAGTTTCTCTCCCTTCAGCACTCGTCGCACCACCTCAAAATCTTCTCAGTGAGTGATAGATGCATAAACCCCACTTGTGGTGCATATGCATGGACAAAATCTCATCCTTATCATTTCATAATGCAGTCGTTCTTCCTAAACACTTTCACCACATCCTCAACATAGTCATGCGCAACAAATTCACAATAATGCTTGCTTGTTTCTGATCTTCTCTCTCCCTGAATATCACAACTTAAAACCTTCGGAATTGATCTTTTATGTCTCCTCTCTAATCCACTTAGTTTTTTGCACGCACATATTGCCGATATTCCTCTTCATAACCTCAATTACCTCTGATTATCTTCTTGAAAGAGACCCAATGTTCCATGTCTCAAAGCGCAATCTAAAACTCCACCTTCTTTTATTGGCAAAAGAACTCCGCCTTCTTATATTCCTAACACCACCTCAACCCCCACCATGTCCTCCCATATTTGACACATCCAGACAATGACCTAGCAACTTTAGCATTCTTATCACTACGCCCAAGCCTATGAAGTGTAGTGTGCTCTTGCATATTTGACACCAACCCAGCGGAAGAATTACACATTGCTAACGGGCGACGACCTAGCTCAAGTGATATTCATATTTTGATTCATATCATGTTCTATGACTAAGGCATTGTTGGCCGTTACGCACCTTCCACAACACTCTTCTCCTTTATCCTGACTTGGGGCAGACATGATACCCAAAAAGCTTTAAATAAAAAGTGGAAAATCAAATCTTTATGAAATTCATTGAAATAATGTCTCATACTCTCGTCATTACAAATGCACATAATTTACAACATAATAAAGAAAGGGAGAATCATTTTGAGTTTATGACAATATCTTCACGCACATTATATTCATAGAATTCAAAGGGAACTTCGGCTTTATATGAAGAAAAACAAGTGTGAAAAGAGAAAAGTATATTTCAACATACCATAACCTTGAGTCAGATTGCCTGTCAGATAATCGTGCCCTAATGAGTTCCACAGATGCTGCTTTCTTGTCCAAAAGCCTGCCAGCGCATGCGATGTTAGACTGATACTGTATCCTCCACTTCTGAAAAGTCTAACTTAAGCGCACAGAAATATAGAGTTTTAAGTGAAGCTAGTACCTGTAACAATAAATTAAATTATCCCAAAGCTCAAGATCTTCATATATTTTGACAGCTTCCCCGATCAAGCCACATCTTACTAGCAGATCACCATACTCCCTGAACAAGAGCCAAATGCACTATTGCTACCATCATGATAGTCAAACTCGCGAGTCAACTCGTTGGATCGGACGAGTTTACGATCCAAAACCATCTTTGCAATTCCGTTCTTACTGAGAATCAGAAAATAACTAGGAGCGGCAGAATCGCCGAGTAGACCCGTAAACTCATAGGCTCGTACAGGGTTGGCGATTCTTTTGCAAAGGCGGAAGAAGAAAAAATTGCTACGCGAATCGTCAGAAAAAATGGCCGAATCATCTGGAACTTAGTTCTCTGCAACTTAATTCTTCGGTTTCTTCACAGCGACTTCCACTCTCAGGTCCGACTGGTCATTTGACGACCTCCACCTCTGCGGCTCAGCGTCGAAGACTCGAAAGTCAAAGACTCGAAGGTCTTTGTTGTTCGTTCCTCTCAAGTTTTAATTTATATACTCCGTATATTACATCATATATTTAATTTAATATTTATTTAAATATATATTACAGAGTAATACTTTCTGATAGCATTTTACTTTCTTTTTTTTGTAGCATTTTAACTTTCTTAAACCTTACTGTTATTAAATATTTTTGTAATAGATTACTTTAAATTATTATATCTGTTAGGTGTTATGAACTTATAATAATCCTTAGTCCTTGCCGTTATTATAATTATTAAGTAAACTAAAGATAGTGGGTTTGTTTGTTTATTATAAATATAAATTTTTATTACATTTTACATTTAACTATTTAATTGATTACTGAATTATATACTACTATTATGAGTAATTAAAATAACATAGTTTTCTTTAATCTGTTATTTATAAATATAAACACTTTATTACATATTCTGAATTATTTTCTACTATTATAATAGCTTAATTTAAAAAAACAGATTACTGAATTACTTTCTACTATTCCTGTTATATTTATAATAATATTTCTTCATTCATAGTTATATGTGTTGTAGTGCATTACGTCATCAATACCTACTTCTGCTACTATGGGTTCCAAAGTTGTAACAAAAAATGCCCCCTGCCAAAAGAATGGCATCGCTTGAAAACTATATGTACACATATATACACACATCTATGCCATATATGTATATGTATAATGTTAGAATATATTTTGTAGGATCTTACGGTCCGAGTCACGATCCTACGATTTACGATCCTTATTCGAATTTCCGATCCTGCATAGGATCTCGAGTTTAACTACCTTGGCTACCATAAGAAATGTGTAATGAATTGCATCACATCACTTAAAAGCAAAACACCGCAATATGAATCATAAGAACAAACTCTTACACAGACCAACAACAGTTGAGATAAAATCACGATACTGCTGAATTAGAAGTAACAAAAATAAAGATAGCAAACATACTTGCGTAATGCAGGTAGTGTAGGAACTTTAGCTCCAAAGCAGAATAGCATCCTCTGTGAAACAACTGGAGAAGGATCGTATATACTTTGAACCTGAAATGCTTGGGGAAGAAACACTCAAAAATAGAGCTAATTGATGAAATTATCATACAAACTAGAAGTGTCATTTGGAACTTAATCCAACACCTCACAAAAAGTTTACAAATGCTAACTCGTGCTACTTTTACTTATCTTTCATTAGCCAACTCTTAGTAAGAATATAGAATTTACATCCAGGTAACACTTTATGCACCCTCCCCCATAAATAACCTCTTATAAAAATTAAAAATTAGTAAGCTCCTTCTCCATTGAACTCTCTCTCATCCATTTCTTCCCCTTTAGCACTAATATCCCATTATAAGATCAAGCTACTTTTTCTTACTAGTTTTCTAAATGTTGCCTGCAGGCAGGACGCTATTCATTAAGTGCAAACTGAAAAATATGTAAAGCCATATATGATGCTCCTTCCATCCCAAATAAAATTCATAGTGGGGAATGTCACCCTTATTAGAAAGTGAAATTGTGTGGTTGAGATTTATTTAAAAGAGGAGGAAGCAATGTCAAGTTGTCAAGTGCAGGATCTTTCCCCAAAATGAAAGTATAGTTTATCGCAAGATAGCCAAAAAAGGAAAATAGTGAACTTCGTATTGGAGCAGAGGAAGTAGAAGAGAGGGTCAAAGGGAAAAAGACTTTGATTTTTGGGTAACAACTGTAAAATGAAAACTAACAACTAAGAGTTTCGTAAAGCCATCTCGCAACACAATGAGATTAAGGTAGAAGCCATACCAGTTTATTCATCATCAGCAATGAACGCTGCTTTGTGCGACTACGAGTCGACTCCCAATGGATACGTGATATGTCACAGAGATATCGTATCTGAGTGAAGAAAGAAATCAAACAAATCTAGTTATTCAAATTATTCAGCAAAAAGCCATGACCAGACAACCAAAGTATATGGAAAGTGTTCATGTGCAGAATACAAAAATTACAGCTTCAGTTACCATGAAGGGTGATGACTGTTGGGAATCAATTGCTTCTATATATGGAGCCATTTCCCACCCTGTACAGGAAATGTCAGCAAAAGAAAACTACACATAATAAAAAGAAGGCTAAAGGGTCAAATAGGCCCTTGAACTGACTTAAAGTGTTCAATTAGCCCCTTATATAGGAGGTTCTGCCCGGCCGTCTCTAATTGGGGTGGTTCCCGATGGAATTTTTTGATGAAATTTTTTTAGCATCTTCTTCATTAAGTCTAGTTTACCCATACCAAATTTCAGCTAAAAATTCAACCGGGAAGGCAGTGAAATGATTTTCCGAAATGTACTGTGCTGTTTAACTTCTCAGTTATCTTCAAAAAATCATTTGACTATCTTCCCGGTTGAATTTTTAGCTGAAATTTGGTATGAGTAAACTAGACTTAATGAAGAAGATGCTCAAAATATTTCATCAAAATATTCCACCGGGTACCGCCCCAATTGCGGACGGCCGAGCAGAACCTCCTATATAAGGGGCTAATTGAACACTTTAAGTCAGTTCAGGGGCCTATTTGACCCTTTAGCCTAAAAAGAATGCCATTCTCACACTTCTACTACAATGACATATAATTCAAAAGACATTTCTCATGCAGCTTACTTTGTAATTCATCATTTCTAGCACTCCTCTGTATAAAATGACATTGCGCTAAAACTACTGCTTGCTGCACGGATTTCAATCGGGTAGCAGCAATACTGTAGTTCACCTCAGAAGTCTTGAAATCCTCTGTGAATCTTGGTGCCATTAATATATCAGATGCCTCAGACCTTTCATGTGCTTGCGAATGTTGAACATCTTCACTAGCAATAGATGAATCACTATGCAACTCAAGCCCTTGTTGAGGAACCTTCTCACATCCATTTGTGCTACCAACAAGAACCAATTGCGCCTTCGGTTCAACCTGCATTCAAAAGTCAAAACTCGTCCAAGTAACAGGTTTTTAGCTCTTCGGGTAGGATTCAAGCTTAGGCCGGGTTACGGGCTACTTCTGGTTTTTACTCAAGTAACGGGTTGATAAACAATCAGGCCGGACTAAGTGCCGGTTTGCCAGGTTGTGGGTTGACCTGCCTGGTTCAGTCTGGTTCTTATAACACAGCTTCAGATGGCAAAAGGGATTAGAAAATGTACTTTGAACTGCCAGTAAGAGTTCAGTTCTTCAATTGTGTTGAAGACTTGGTCACTTGGAAGTGTATTATTACTATGTGTGTTGTATTCAAGGGGCTGTCAGACCACACTACAGAAGCCCTGGACTAGCATATATCTATTCTCTAGGTCACAAAAGTAGCCTATAACTGAGCACACATTGCACACATAATCAACAAACATAAACAAGTTGATTTAGTACGCGTCTGGCTAATTTTGTACTTTTTCCCTGGGTGCATCAATTTAATAATTTGATAATCTCAATCAAATCAAGAAAATATAATCACAATTTCAATTTTCTACACATAGCAATAGAATTTTTACCGAGTTAACCATTTTAATATAAATATCCGGTTTTTGCCTTCTAATTTTTGCACCAGAATACAATAGCTCCAGGGCTTCATAGCCAGGTATCAAACTTATTAGGATGTTTTTACTTGGACTGTAATTTGTCCCAGATCAGACCAGACCAGACCAGACTTGGATAGTTATAAAAATACCAAGTAAAAACATCCTTATTGTTCTACCTTCAAAACATTTTATCCTTGCGGATAATTTTACATTTGCTACAGCAACTGTTACTCCGATTGTTCAGTCACATCACAGAATTGCACAGAAAGTTAGAAGTTTGATTCAATTACTGTATATACCTGATGTACAGTTCGATAGCCCATAGCCCCACTCAAAGAAAAACTAAGTCCAGATGATGCTGCTGCTGATTCAAAATACAGTCTGGAATATGAATTCTATTAGTACTCATGCAAATCAGTATGTTGAAAGCAGCAAACTTTTTTGTGTGTGTGGCCTGCGAATAGATAAAAAGAAATCTGCAGTTCACATTCACTTCTGTATCGAGAAAAGAATTTCAAGCCTCAAGTCCTCAACTTTTCAGACCGAAAGGCATTGGTATCATTTAACTCCTTCCAAACAGCCGTAAGTTGAAGAAAAATAAAAGCAATGAAATATAACTTCCACTTCGAAATATTGAATTTAGTACTTAGTAGGCAATCATTTTAATGAGCATGTTAGTCCATGCAGAAGTAAATGATTGGTTCCACATATTAACTATTCCAATATATGGTAATTCCTTTAAATTAATTTAATGTACTTATTTAACACATATGCTTAACATGTTAGTTCCATCATTTCCAATGAAGCCAAAGACTCACTATTTTTTGGCTTAGGAATATGATGGAATAAAGCAAAATAGCTCACTAAATTGCTTGCGCTTTTTTGTTATGAAGCAGCAGTCAGTCAATGAAATTTTTGACGTGATTTTCATTATGGGTCATCCGGAAGCAGTCTCTCTGTGCTAGAGTATAGAGGTAAGACCGCATACATCTGACCTCTAGCACTCCACCATAGGTAGGAGTCTTTGCGACATTGAGGTAATGTTGTTGCTGCTGCTTAACATGTTAATCTTATCACTCTATGGCTCATTAATCAGCATGTTACATGCTCATTAAAATTATTGCTTAGCATTTGCATATTCTATTGAAGTTAATTGCTTCTAAGTGAGAAATTAGTAATATGACACTTTGATTAATAAGATATTACAAAAACGGACTGTAAAATAAACAAAGATAAAAAAATATCCAAATGGGCATACTTTGGTAACAAAAAATATGGAAGTTGAGACACAACTTGGAATATTTCCCATGTCAAATAGAAAAAAGGTCTCCCTTTGGAATGATAAGAATACTACAGGATGTAACCTAAGGTATGTAGGTCACTCAGTCTGACTAAAAAGAAAGAAGTAATTTTAGATAAAAATATGGTTTAGTACACCAAACCCCCTCATGATATATAAATTCGGCACATTAGCCACATGTGATCTAAATAAATGCATCAAACCCCCCTATGATATAATTATCCATGTGCAAAACCCCATCCAAGAACAAATTTTACAATTATGAAATCAATTTTCTTAATAATATGATTGAATATGCAAGTAACTTTGTCAAGATTTCTGAGTTATACATAAATACTAATTATTTTTCATTCATTTGGCAATTAAATTTATTCATAGACGGGATTTTGCACATGAATAACCGTAACACGGGGTGTTTGATGCATTTTTATATCACAGAAGGCGAATGCGTCGAATTTATATTTCACGAGGGAGTTTAGTGCATTAAACCTGATAAAAATATACTTGTATACTAAGTGATTAAGTGGAGCCCTTAAGAATGCTCTATTTCAGAAGTAAATATCAATATGATAGCCAAAAAATCTACATATAAATCACTCACTTGGAAGAATCAATCCGCCCATAAGTGAGTTCCATGATTCCTGCCTCTAAGTGAAGTGCTGACACAATAGTAGAAGCATCATCGTTTGAGATCTGAGAGACCCAATAGTCTCTAGCCTTTTCTGTGGTTCCAAACTGATTCAAACTTTCAAGAGTATAAACTTGTAGTAGATCAAACAGTGCAGAGCAACGATCATCTAACAATTTCTGCTGAAAGATAAGCAACCGAGCTAACCACCACGAGACACTTTTCACTGTGGAAGAAAAGTTGCCTTCTGCCAAAAGATCTTTTATCCTCAAAAGCAGGACCTTTGAAAGAACTATATACTACAGCAAAAGAAAGATTTAAAGGGGAAAAGAGCACATGAAGCAACATCTATTCATGGTTAAAATGGCAAAATATTTGAGAGCAAGGGTGCAAACAAAAAATCAGGAATAATAATGACTTGAAAAGGCACAATAGTTTCTCCATTCAAGGGCTTACTCTGTCATTGACTATCGTAATTGGTTGGATAATTACCGAGTATAAAACCCATTTCTTCTTCACTAAATTCAGATCTTTCTTTAATTGAGTGGCAAAGAAACGTAAACATGGTTTTATTTACTAATGGGAGCAGGATAAAGTGGGTGAGCAACCAGTGTCAGCCAATTATTTTACCTGAATATTGTAAAACTTTGCACCCAAATCTGAACCAACTGAGATTAACTCATTTTCTCCCCATCTCTCCCATTCCAGCCATCCTCTACTATCACTGCTCTCTCCTTCACGATAAGTTAATGCAACTAAAGGCATCAACGGAAACTTCTCAGTTGGACTGAAACCAGAGACACATAATCAATAACTGAGTAAAGAGAAACTAATTACAAAAAATACTTTTTCAAAGATGAAATCTTTTAAGCAATATTGTTAAACTGTGACAGACCCAGTAGTGTTGCACTGGACAAATGCAAGGAGAGATGCAACCGCAATGGACATGACGATAAGAGCCTTAAACGTGCTATGTAAGTCCAAACTATCTGAGTCTCCGTCCTCATCATTGTTGAGGAATGAAGTTACACATCCGGGTACGAACTCGGAGTAGAACTGCTGTGCAGACTCGGTAGAATATGTGAATTGGGGTTGGAATCGAGTGCAAGAGAAGACAGAATTCGCGGCTGGAGAAGAGAGCGCCTGGGTGTACTGCCCGGATTCAATTAGCTCGATAACTTGGTCGAGCAGGACACGAAAGTGAGCGAATGAAGGATGAGAAAGAGAACCAGTGGGCGGCTCCGGAGAGGAAGAAGATTGGTCGAACGCTAAAGTGCAACGTAAGAGGCGGAGCTCCGCGGAGCGGATATAGGTGACGATTTTCTCACGCAAACCAGTAGCCATGAAAGCAGATGTGAAGAAACTAGGAAGGAAGGCGAGATTTTGTTGCTTATTTGGCCAAACTCCTCCGTTGAAAGGGTTTAGAGCATCGTGCACTGTGCAATTATAAGCAAGATAGACATAAAAAATTTGATTTTATGATATTTCTTTGTCATTCTTTCCACGGTTTTATGTGTTTTTAGTAAGTTTTCCTCTGTAATGTCAAGCACAATGTCTACATCTTGACATTGTTTTTGACATTGCGAAGAAAAACTTATCAAAAATGATACAAGATCATTCAAATAAGAGAAAGATATTCTATTTATTACGTAGTATTTTTTAACTAGCTTTCAAGCCCGTGCGATGCACGGGCAGTATGTAATTTAGCTAATTTGAAATTTGATTTGTTTCGGATCATATGTAATGTGATTTAAAAGAAAAATAAACTTAGTCTAATATAGAGCTCGTTTGATAATACTAAAAACAAATCGAATTAACTTATTTTAATGAAATTGATTAAATTTTGGCTGAATGGGCTGAATGGATGAAATCTCCTGAATCATTGAAAAAAATATGTAAAATATATTCCATTTGTGAAGCCAAGAAAAGATTATATGAAAAATAGTTAAATTGATCTTCTACATAAGCATCTCAAGTAAATATAATTGTTATGAACCCGATTTTAAAGAATTCATAATCTCACGTCCTCCAAATTACTTTATTAATTATGCACCTCAGGTTTTTTCCTTCTACTATTCCTCATTCAACTTGAGGTGAAATACTGAGTACCTACTTTTAACTTTTAATAATAAGATGTTACATTTTACTCATTATTTCGTCACACCGTAAATGTAAAAAAATGAAGTTTTTTTTACATTTTACTCATTATATATTTCGTTACATTGAAAAAATAATTTAATTGTTATGAACATCTAACAAATACTTTTCTAGTATTTATCATTCAACTTGGTATGAAATACACATTTTAAAATTTTAATTGTGAGATCTTATATTTTTCTCATTAATAAGGACATTTTTAATTGAATTAAACTTTTGGATTTGATTTGGTAAGAATTAATATGGTTTGGTAGATGTTTGTTTTGCATTTTATGTGACTTATTATTATTATTATTATTATTATTATTATTAAAGTTTGATCTGATTTGATTTAATCTGGAATTGAAATCAATCCAATTAAAAAAATTCAATTAAAAATAAAAGTATGAATTTGTAAACATATAATATATGCAATATGCAATCGTGATATACTTTTGTTAGTTATTTGCAAAGTAAACATATAATATATGCAATCGTGATATCAATCCTGATATGCAATATGCAATATGCAATTTGTAAACGTATAAGGTAGATTTATACAGATTTCTATTTCCATATTAATATGCCATTAAAATAGAATCTAGCTAATTAAAATAGAAGGTATAAAAATAACTAAATAATTAATATATATATATAATGACATGGCAGGATTATGTGGCGCTTTGTATGCTCTTAAAAAGTTCCTCTTTTATATATATATATTGATTGGTTATCTCTCATGTCACGTATGCATCATTCACGTTTTAGCATTGGAGATGCTCTTAGGATGAGTTCGGGAATGTGTTCAAAAAGGATGGATTTGGGAGTCGAGACACAAGTCACATCTCTCACATGTCAAAACAGGGTAACATGCAATATGTGTACAAGTAATTGGTAAGCAAATTTTGATTTTTTTTAGGAATTATTCATGTACACAGGTAACTAAAAGGTGTGTGTATAAACTGTATACAAATGTAAGGGCCTGTTTACTAACAGAGATATTTTCCTGTTTTCTACTTCTGTTTTTCGTTCTCCAATTTTCTGTTTTTATTTTTCAGTTTTTCTAACACCAATTTTCTGTTTCTATTTTTTAGTTTTCCATTTTCAAATCTGAAAAATGTTCATCAATTTTTTTTACCCAGATCTCCAATTTCACACCCTTGACCCCTACCCTTACCACGATCTTGCACTCTACCCATACTCCCCCACAACCCTTCATACCCACCCATACCTACTCGTAGCGGTCGGGGTAGGGAAGTTATGGGTGGGGGTGGGGTAAGGGGTATGGTCGGGGTGGGGTGGTAAGGTCTAGGGGTTGGGGGTTGGGTGGGGGTAGTGGGTGGGTTAGGGTCGTGGTTAGGGGTAAGGGTGGGGTAGTGGGTAGGGTTTGGGGTAAGGTAGAGGTAGGGTATGGAGTTGGGATAGGATGGTGGTAGGGTGGGGCCGAGGTAGGGAAGGGGTGGGGGTAGGATGGCGGTAAGGGTGGGGGGGTAGTGGGTAAGGTTGGGGTAAGGTAGGGGTAGTGGGATAGGATGGCGGTAGGGTGGGCCCTGGATCTGGATGGGGCCGAGGTAGGGGAAGGGTAGGGTGGGGGGTAGGATGGTGGTAGGATGGCGGAAGTATGGGTGGACTCAAGCCGGTTCGAGCTTGGGTCGGGCCTCCGGTTTAGGAATGGGGGCCCCGGAACAGTGCCGGTTCCGGGTCGGGCCACCCGGCCCGAGTCCACCCCTAGGCGAAAGGGTGCTGGTAGAATGGCGGTATGAGGGTGGGGGTAGGATGGCGGTGGGGCCGAGGTAGGCACATGTAGTAAGGGGTAATATACGGGTGGGGGTAGGGTAGGGTGGGTCGGGGTGGGGTCGAGGTGGTAGGGGGGTGGCGGTAGGGTGGATCAGGGTGGGGCCGAGGTAGGGGCATGTGGTAGGGGGTGGGGTAGGGTCATTATAGGGAAAAATGGGTATGCGGGGTTGGGTTGGGTGGGTAAGGTAGGGTAGGGTAGGGGTAAGGTACGAGGATGGAGGTACCGGAATGGAATCGACATCGGAGCGAGACTGGACCCACCACTAGGTGTACATATGCAAATTCATTGCAGCGGCACTGTAGCATCTGCGTTTTCCAAATTTGGAAAACTACTAAAAGTCACTTCTCCAAATCATTAAGGAAAAGAGAGACATGTCTCATTTTTTCCGTTTTGGAAAAAGATTTGGTAAACGCGTTTTTCTTTTTTCCTTTCTCCAGTTTTCCAGGAATTTCTTTGGTAAACACGTTTCCTGTTTTTTGTTTTCCAGTTTTCCAGTTTTCTGGAAAACTGGAAAATATCTCTGTTAGTAAACAGACCCTAATTTTCTCTAAATTTATACCTACAAATTGTCTTTCCAAAAAAAGACCTACAAATTTTGTTCGGCGGAACGAATCATCATGTGCTACATACATTATTTGACGGGGTTTTTCCCTAAATCTAAAATAAAGTTAAATTTTAATGTAATTATTTTTAAATATTGACAAGAATGTAATTAATATGATCATATAAAGCCCGTTTGGTGTCACAAAAATCGGCTGATCTGGCTGATTCTGTTGAAATTTATGAAGTTCTGGTTGAAGTGGCTGTATTGGCCGATTCTGCTGATTTAAGAAAAAAATATTTTAAATATATATTTCATTAATAAAATAAAGAAAAAAATTATATGTAGAATAGCTAAAATGGTCATATACAATAACTTCAGTCAATACAGTTAGAAAAGTAACTTCAACCTTACTTTTTCTGCTTATTACACAATTCAACGCGCGAAAGCAAAAGTTACGTATTTGGTGAAAAAGTTGGTTGATAAGTCTAATAAGCCGAAAAACAGTGTTGTCAAACGGCCTCATATATAGAAAAACGTGATGTCAGTGTAAACTTGTTATGTCATTGTAAATTTTTATGTCATTAAGAGTTGTCACTGCCAGATCTCAATGGTCTCGCCAGATCTCAATGGTCTCGCCAGATCTCAATGGTCTCCAATGTGTGATAGCTTTGACAAACCCTATTAGTTCGTGTTCATATGCAGCGAGTTTAATGTGGCGATCAACAATCTTGCGACTAAAATATGCATTCGGATGTCCTTGTCGTAATACTGTCCTGAAAGCAATCCTAGGTGCATCACACTCTACTACAAATTCTTTACTAAAATTAGGCAATTGGAGTACTGGGCGGAGGAGAGTCTCACTTTGAGATCATTGAATCCACGTTCAGCTTCATTTGTCCAAGTAAAGGCACTCTTCTTCAATAAGTGTGTAGCGGGGCAGTAATCTCACCATAATGTTGAATGAATACATTTGCGATATAATAACCGGCCAGCCCAAAAAAATACGCAAAGTTGTCACTGATCGTGGTGTAGGCCACTCGGTTATGGCCTGAATTTTAGCTGGACCAACCTCGAGCCTTAGCTATGGATAATATGACCGAGATATTGCACATGGGGTGCGCCAAAACTACATTTGGATTTTTTTTAGGAAAGGCCATGGGTGAGTAAAGTTTCCAAGATAAGGTGGACATGATAGACGTGTTCGATCTAAGACTTATTGTAAATTAGTATGTCATCAAAGAAGACGAGGACAAATTTGTGGGGGTAAGGTGCAAAAATGTCGTTTATCAAGCTTTGAAAGGTGGGGTGCATTTGTGAGCCCAAACGGCATGACTAAGAATTCAATGTGACAATGATGAGTTTGAAAGGCTGCCTTTTCAATTTTCAATATCCTCTGCTGCCATGCGAATCTGGTGGTATCCTGAGCGGGGGGGTCAAGTTTTGTGAAGAATTTGGACCCATGAAGTTCGTCCAACAACTCATCAATGACAGGAATCACAATTTTGTCTTTAATAGTCTTGGAATTGAGTTCTCTGTGGTCGACACACAATCGCCATGATGGGGAAGGAGATCAGCATATGCGAATGATACCTTGTTGAAGCATCTTCGTACATTGCCTCTCAATCTCGTCCTTTTGAACATAGGTGTAACAGTAAGGACGAACAACCACTGGACCAGTTCCTAGGGTAATGTCGCCAAACAAACCCTAGCGTGAGCTTATGTACGTTGATGAACAAAGAAGCTTTCGCAGCACTTGAGCATGACAAAGGGCCATTTATACATCGTACTGCGGAACTTCAATAATGGAGAATCTGGGAATTCATCATTATCACGACCACAATAGTCGGCTTCCCTTCTGTGTTCCAACTGGGGAAGAACTGGAGGACGTCTCCCCTGTTAACTTTTGCATGGTTATGGACAAAGCATACATGGTTGTGGGAAGGGTGAGCAGGGTAGCCA